TATAATATAATATTTATACTCAAAATATATAAAAATTTATAAAAAATTAATTAGAATTTTTATAATTAATAAATTTTAATATCTGTCTTGTGACTAGATACACCCATAAATAAATAAAAAGAAAGAAAGAAAGAAAACCTATGCCTTGGGGCTTGGGCTGCTGCGGAGCGAACTCCTCCTTACCCTTAGCGTCGGCCCTCTGAGTCTCCTCGTAGGCTTCATGGTTCATACACAAAAAAATGCAAAATTAATCGAACTGGCACTCATTATTAATTATAAAATTTGTATAATTAAGGTAACTAAAATACTAATTTCTCTCACCAAAGTGCTTTTCATGCATCTCCTCATCTATCCTGACAATAGTTATTGTGTGGTTCTTTGCATAGATTACCCCAAATCTTTCTTCTTCTGCCCTCGTCGCATGTTTCTTCCCCAACGAGTGAATGACATCCCTTAAAAATACACAAGCACGCAAAATAAAACAGAAACTAATTAGCCCAATTAACCCCATGCAATGCAAAGGGAGGAGACATAACAAAAATTAATGATAATGAAACTAACAGTGTTTCCTCATGTGGGTTTTCCAGGGCCTTGTTCATGCTTGGTGAGTTTTCTGGGTTCCTAGAGACAGTTGTGAGCAGCTGCCTGAAGCTAACCCCTGCAGTTCTCCGGCCAATGGAAGATTAAGATCGAATACAAGATGACAAATTTGCTTGTGGTTGAGCTCTAATGGATTGAACCATTTGTTAATTTAATTTAATTTATTTATTTTATTGAACACAAAAATGTGACTCAAACTTTACATTTCTACAATAATGAAAATGCTTTTAACAATGCATAAGTGGCCATTGCGCGATGAGGACTTCTCAATTTCTTGGTTTATTTTACAATCAATCAAATCTTTATAGATGAATATATATACACTAGAAAGTAAAGCGATTAACAACAATTTTGGTCTTGGTGTTTCTACAAGTTACTAGAATTCTGCTGTAGGATCTCCTGATCTTACTGTGGGCCATTGAACTTTTTATATTTTGGGCCGTTATATTTTCAGAATTTTCATTTCAGACTTTCCGTCCAATTATTTGGGCCGGACTCAATCCTCCTGGTTGGGCTCTGAGAAGCAGAAGCGAGATGGCCGCTGTCTGTCAATGTCCAGGTGTACAGAGTGAGGTGGGGCCCTACCTAGTTCACTCTACGAGAGTGAAGGTGAAATACGTCACTTTAACTTGTACGGTACAAAAGTATTGTGTCTCTGTGGGACCACTCTACCGTTGCAACGCCGTATATGTAATCATGCGCGTATAAATCAATGGTTATTGCCACATAAATAATTGTGACTTGATCGTTATAATTCCTCCTAAAAAAATGAAAAGTTTGCTGATATTTTGAGGTTTAATATTTAATTATTATTAATTTTTTTTATGATATAGAAGATGGCGAACAAATCACTAAAAATTATTTAATAATATAAAATTTATAGTTAGTAATTTAAACAATTTAATAATAATTTTTTATTAAAAATAAAAAATTTTAAATTAGAGTTACATGATATATAAAAAAAAGATAAAAAATGAGAAACTTATCTTTTATTGTGTAATTTTTTTTAAACATATTAAAATTA